TAATAATAATAATAATAATAATAATAATAATAATAATAATAATAATAATAATAATAATAATAATAAACTTTATTACCGTGTTACCGTCCTTACCTAAATCTGAAGTATTTATGTCATTTACTTGTCTGTTTAGTAACTGAGACTGACTTTCTTTCAGATATTTCGCTGTTCTTCGTCGGCGTAATTACGTCACTCCCACGTCATATCTGGAGCTCATAAAAACGTTCAAGTCTCTTCTTGGGAAAAAGCGATTTCAGATATTGACTCTTAAAACAAGATATCTGAAAGGTCTGGAGAAGCTAGACTTCGCTTCGTCACAGGTACATAATATGCCACGTTAAAACACAACGCGAAAATTTCGGTTTTTGGTCTTTTCATCTCTGTAACTTGTCAAACACGTAAGACCGTGTTTGACCACATTTTCAAACACCGAGAAGCGAGTTAAGAATACGACGAACAGCGGTGTATTTTTGACGAACTTTGAGCTGCTTGGAAATGTGATCAAACGCTGTCTTGGATGTTTGATAGATCTTCTCAATCGAAACTAAAACTAAGGAGAAAATGGAGAATTAAAATCGTAAAAATGTATGCTAATTAATCCAAACACCGTCACGGTCATGATTTCCTTTGGTTAAACTTGATAAGAAGATTGGTTCCAGCCTTCTGAGAGTTATCATTCTTTTGATTCACCTTGAACTGACAATTGGGTTTAACGAGAAATGAAAATTCTAATGAATGGTTGTTGTTAATTGACAGGTGTCGATCATGCAGCAAGAGTTAAAGGAGCTGCAGCCGGAGTTGATAGAGACCAGTAAAGAGACAGAGCAGCTGATCGAAATAATAGCTGATGAGACACTGGAGGTGGAGGACAAGAAACGGGTAAACTTTACCACTCAAATCATTAGATTAAAAATATGCCGACAGTCATTACCAACTACTTATTAACCGAGAGTGAGGTCTTTACGGGAAAATCTCAAACCGAGACCTTTTTGTATTGACCGAGCGATACAATACCGAGGCCGAGGTTTGAGATTTTCCCGTAAAGACCGAACGTTCAAGGTTAATAAGTGGTTTATTTATTATATGGCCTTTTTGCTTTGGTGTTGAGGCCGGTAATCGGCCCGTGGGCATTACGGGAGAATAACGCCCCAGAATTAGCCAATCAGAGCGCGCGTTATATCGGTTACAAACACAAGCCACATAATAACAACTGGTTACTTGTCACCATCGCTTTAAACTTGCCCAAGGACCACAGTAGTGACATACAGCACTCGACTAGGACAAGGAATGTTTTCTAAAATCTGGAAGTAAAATGTGTTCCTGATATTCCCATGCAAACTGTTAATATATTCGTGCGTGCGTGCTTATGTTGTCTGTAGTAGAATTACTTTATACTGATCATATGTGTTTTGGTATCAGCAACACATCAGACGTCTTTTTATGAATGTTGATTTCCGAGTGAACTGAATGCATGTTATTTCAGGTGGTGCAAGCTGATGAAGCCGCAGCCAACACGGCAGCTCAAGAAGCACAAGCTATCAAGGTACCACTAGAATAACACTGCTTCACTGGAGAGCAAAAATAACTAGAGTTTGTAGAATAGTATTTAGAAGATAACAGGACGCCTCTAAAACGTGAAAAATGGCTACGATAGAAATGGATTACAATATGGTGTAACTTGATAAGATGAGGCCTACGTTTGACTGGGATTCTATCATTTAGGCTGAGTTCGTAAATGTTTTTGTTCAGGTGATCAAAGTAACAACAGTGGTAGTCATTTACTATCAGTCCTTAAGCTGGACTAAATTCTAGTGTTAGGTAGGACTGATCACTCACAAATGCTTTAGATATCTCTAGCTGCATCAAAGAAACGAGCCCTTTTCCGGTGTCTTGACTTAATCATAAGACATTAAACAGGCAAACAAAGAACCAACATGCATTTCAGAGTAATTTCTCCTCCTTCGACATGTATGATTCCTTGTAAAATGCATAGTTTATTTCTGGTTCTCTCTGTGTTTATCTAGAATCATCAAATACAACAGTCATTTTCCAGTGCGCAGTTTATTTTGCGTTATTATGAGACACGACGGGCATTTTGCATAAATCTCCTCTCCTTAAACATTTGTATTATATCCTAAAATGCATGGCGTATTTTTGCTCGTCCTATACTGATCAGCTTCGCTTAACCTTGATCATTTTAGGATGAATGCGAAGATCAATTGGCCGTTGCCATGCCAGCATTAAATGCAGCGGTATCAGCGTTGGACACCCTTAAACAGCAGGACATTTCACTGGTCAAAGCTATGACCAGTCCCCCAGCTGGTGTGCGCATGGTTATGGAAGCTATTTGTATATTAAAAGTAAGTCACTCATGGAAGGTAACCTACCGGCTTTCACGTTATCCAGTTTTGTCTTTTCTAGGATTCCACGAGGAACCGAATGAATTGTCATGTCAGATGTTGTTCTCACTGGAAACTAGTTGCTTCAACACGGCGGTTGACGCGTTCGAATTTATTTATGTGAACTGACCCTGGCCCTTTAATTTAAACAAAATGTCCAGAAAGGGTTCGTAAGTTCCGGAAGGGGAGCCGAAAAAAATGAAGATTTAGGAACAAGCCAGCAAGAGAAAGATGTTTTTACTGTTTAAATGCACTTAAAATACTCTTTGATGTGATCTATCTTTTTTACAGAGATGAACACAAGATTTAGGGAGGTCATGCAGTGAGACAGGTTCAACGTGAGGAAGATAGTTGGATAGTCAGTGTGTAGTTGGATAGTCAGTGTGTTGTTTGGTCAGCTCACATACATTTCATTCAATTCCGGTTTAACAGTCACAAGCTCTGTAGTGGCATGCATAAAGCAAGCAATAGGGATGACCCAAGTGAAAACGAAATTCGACGCAAACAGAAGCACAAGCAAAATCATCCGAACCTTCCAAACTGTTTGGCGCGAGGTAATCTGGATCTTGTGTTTTCATTGGCCAAACATAACCACGTGTGGTAAATATCCTTGTGGTTGTGTTATGCCTGAGCGGTTTTTCGTTTTCACTTGTTGCAGCGCAAACGCAAGCATAAGCGCGAGCAGAAGAAAAAGGAAAAATCTTGATCCTTGTGCTTTTGCGTGTTCATGTGCTTATGCCGGCGTCAAGACCGTTTTCACAGACGGTGAAATTATTGTGCTTGCGCTTGTACTTTCCTCTCTAGTGAAAACCAGGGTTGAAGGTAGTGAACAAACTGGTGATTCCTCAGACGTAGATTCAGACTGAGTTGTTTGCTCGAACCTGCTGCTCGGTCACATAGCGTGGGGTTCTTGAGAAAGACGCTATTTTCGAGGTGCATCTGGCCAACCAGGTGACAGTACAAATGGGTAACTGTTTGAGCAGCTTGGCTGGACCAATATTTTGATGGACAAATATTCTGATGCGTATCTTTTAAAAGACTAGCCTCCAATACTGTGCATGTAGGAAAAATACTGCTGATAGAGATCGGAGTTTCGCCTTGGGTCGTGGTCATAACGAAGTAGTTTGGTTGGTGTTTGCTGTTTTGTTTGGTTTCTCATCGGATTTCTTGGTCCCTGCTCGTGTTTGTCTGTAGGGTGTGAAGCCAGAGAAGAAGATGGTTGACGGCAAACCTGTAGATGACTATTGGGCGTCTTCGAAAAAGGTGCAATAGTTCATGTAATATATTAAACACGAAAGACCGTGCTTCACCACATTTCCAAACACCGAGAAGAGAGAGAAATGTAACGCGTAGAGAAATACGACGCGCAGCGGAGTATTTTTCACGAACTTTGACGTATTTGAAAATGTGTTCAAACATTGTCTTGAGTGTTTGATATATCTCCTCAATCGAAACTAAAACTAAGGAGAAATAAAATCGTAAAAGCCTATGCCTAGGAAGATCAGATATCCAGACACCATCACGGTCATGATTTCCTTGGTTAAACTTGGTGAATTATTAGCGAGTTTGAGGATTTTGCTTCTCTTATGCCATAATCCTTTCAGTCTGCTTTGTTAAAGTATCGAGGCCATCATCCAGTATACCATGAAATGAAAAAACTCTCCAAGGAATGGGGACAGAAGGGCTTTGCGAGGGAGAAGGAGATTCATTCTCAAGCGTTTCTCGTTTTGTGTTGGATCAAGTGCATTCAATTAACATCTTTGATT